GAGGCACGAGACTGGGAAATGGACACATCTAGCTCGCTCAGGGCAAACACCAGCGAACCTTCGAGTCTCATAAAGGACGCGTAGCTTCTTAACCATTTGAGCAACTGTCAGCTTCTCAATAACAACTGCACGATCCAGTATCAACCGACGGTCGCCTTCAGTTTCTCACGTAATGCCCGAGGCAACTCTGCCTCGCCTCGGGTCTAGTCTTTGTTCCTTTTCCTTTCTGTCGCAAAAGACAACACAGAATACGAACCACTTGAATTTTTGTCATCTATCTGGTGCTGGTAAGAGACCCGCTGTCAAGATTATCCGAGTACGCAATTTTTATGTTAATAAACAGGAAACAAGAGGCGACACGGCGTCCACGGTGGATAAAACCTCGAATCTTCATTCGCCACTGCATAAAAGAGTCACTTGAAGGAACGCAGATGTGAGAGCAAGAGAATGTACCAGAAACAGCTCCACTTCTCGGATTCTCAGCTTTTTTTTTAAAAAAAAAATCACCTCTTCCGTACAGAAAGAAGAAGAAGAAGAACACAGAGCACAGAGATCACCCATCTTTCTGAGCGGCGTGTCACTGCACCTAACACAAAAGACACGAAGCCTGCAAAGGGGACACACCGAGCGAGCAGGAATTTTGTGTTTTCCACCAACACGGAACCTGTTTCCAGCCATGGACCTTATGACAACTGTGATCAGACCACCGCTGGTTGCCACACACGGTAAACACATCTCGTTTGGTTCATTAAGCAGTCTTAAAGGTTCAAGCATTACATAAAGTTGTCGAATTTATGTGACCGCGGACGTCCTATGTCATATGGTGGCAACATCGCAGACCATCAGATACACTGTGGTACAGGAAAGCTACGACTGGTAGACACTAACTGCGCCCGATTGACTGGGAAGTCCAGCGGGGAGGAGAAGGGTCCACTTATAAGGTCGAGGCCTGTGACACTGGATACCACATACGTTACATGCATAAATACATATACACATAACGGGATCCCTCATGAGTTCTGAACAAAGCGAGCTTTACCTTAAATTCGAGGGTAAAAGGAGGCTCCACTTGAACACGTTTCCTCCTACCGAAGAAAGCCAATGTGCATCTCCTTCGTATTCGGAAGGTACCGAGTTCAGATCTCAGCCTAGAGAACAATGCCCTCACTGGGTGATGGCGTCCCCTTCCCATTCTGCCCTTCAATTGAATACGTTATCTAATGTACAACCAAAAACGTCGAAAGTTAAGAGCTTTAATTCACCAAGACACGCAAGCGGGAAGGGAGGGCGATCTTCAGAGCTGTCTCTCCCCTCCAGGTCTTCCAATCAAAAGTCTGTACGCATTTCTCATCTCCCCATGCGTGCTACACGTCCCGCCATTTCAACGGCATAATCCGTCTTCCTATTTCGTGTTGGCCGCTTTCCACTCGGAAGTCCCATCTGGTGACACGGCGATTTCTCCCCGACGAGTGGAACGTTCCTCTTTTCCAGCTTTACCATAAATGCACGTCGTGCAGGTGGACCAGCGAGCTTCGTGACTTACCAAGGTGGAGTCCTCGCCGCTTGACCTGGGGTGGCGTGAGAACGGAGAACGGAGCGAAGTGACGGAAGACTCGGACTTGAACTAAGCCACGAGGAGGAGGCCAAAGTTTTGGAACTCGGAAAGTCAGGGCAGGGGGACTGTGGGAGAACGAGATTTAGTGGAACAACAGGAGGTCAGATGAAAACGGGCGGACGTTTATACACGTACACACGTGCATTTTCGTTTTTGGAAATGGGACGGCAAAGATATCAACAGCCATAAGGTCACTGTGCCAGTTGGCGCGATACCACTGTTCTGAATGCGCATGCCCCAAATGAGGACAGTTTTCATGAGGAAATTGATCATGCATTCCATCAGTTGCCTAAATACAACCTCGCACAGACAGAAAGACAACCTCAAACACGGATCTTATATCTAGTAAAGTTATGCTCGTCGAGTGTGTGTTGCTGTTCCAAAACCAAAGCAGTCCCGAGAGACGATAAAACGCAAAAAGTCCAGAGCAGAATAAAGGGACGAATCACATGTGGAACTGCTGGAGCTACAAGCGCTTCTAGGCTAAAGTTTAACTTTTGGTTGGAGCGTCGAGGAGGAGAAGAAAGGACGCGTCCTAACACGACAGCCTTTGCGGTCACAGGGGTCAGAACTATGTTCTGTTGAACACCGCTCACGCAATGGCTCACACACTTCTTGGACGTCCTATACAGCAGTTGTGCCACCACATTCGGCAGCTGTCGGTCATGCGACGTTCTGATGCGGTCGGACTGGAGTTATCTTCCACAGACTCGTCCTGCTCTGCAATAACTGTACGAGGACTGGAACCAAGGACTACTCCGCGCGTGTTTAAACGGCACGAGAGGAGTAACGGCAGGTGGCTCTGCAGGGCGTACTTTCTACAACGATCAACGGAACTTGGCACGCACAATGGAGAAGAATTTGCATGTCCGTCCGCAAGTTTCATCGTACAACTTCGATTTCGATTATAGTTCGTATCACAAGCCCACGCCACCACACGATCGAAGACAGACCCAACTGAAATACAGCACGTGCTTTGAGTCAAGGCGTACATTTAGCGAAAATGACTCAGTAAGATGCAAAACTTCTAAGCCATCAACACTTAGGGGTAGGCCTATTTATTATTCGTAATTGCAGGCGGTGAGCTATCAGTTCTGCCAACATAAAGCGCACTGACACGCAAAACCACCGCATACTCGGAGCGCTGAGCCGGTCTGTCGACGGCACTCCTTCCCAATCCACACGACGTCAACTTCAGGGTGGTCAGAACCTCCGCACGCTCGCCTCGCTTATTTAAACTTTTGTGTAAACCTTCAAAAAATAATTTCACGTCGGACGACAGCAGGCCCCCCGCTGCAGCAGAAGCAGATGTTTGAGTGGCACCAGATATAAGTTAACTTGGTTCATTAAAAATCCCGTTCCTTCATATCGCAGCATTTCACTGCGGTAGGTCATGTCGGGTAACAGTGAATTATACAGAACGGCCACGATGTTTGTGCGAGTGTCCGCAAAGGGGGACGTCACATGCCACACACCAAGGGACGAGCACGAACTATTCCCTTCCTCCCTGGTCATCGACCACGCTGAAAATAGGTCGCAGTTCGCAAATTTTTCTGGCGTCCCAACGTGGGGGAACATCACAGTGCCTGTACACGCCAAAACGAGCGAGAGAAAGCATCGTGGCCTATTTTAATGGCCTGCAGCCGGGCGAACAGTCTCGCACTGGCTGCGTTACGCGTTCATCACTCACAACGTTAAAGTGCTGTTGACTTGTCATTACCTACAAGAAGTGACAGGGGCGAGATGCTCCATTCAACGAGAGGAAATTGCAATTCATCTTTGTCCCAACAACATCCACTCTACAACCCTTCTTAAAGACAACGGGGTGGAAACAGAGAGCATAAGAAACAATGAAGTCCTCGTTGAAGTAGAGGACACCCGCTGAGGAACCCATTCGTCTTCTTTTCTTTATGCACCGTCAATGAACTCGTCTCGTGCGCATGTACAGACAGACAGACAGACAGACAGAACGCGTATATAAGCAAAACTTTGTTCCCTCACATAAACACGGACAAGAGGAAATTCCAGTTCATAACATGAGAGCCGCCAGGATTTGCGGTCGCCAGTCGCAGGGGCAGAGCAATCGGAGATCGCGAACCTTTGTAGAGGCCTACGAAGTCTTGGAAGCGCGCAACTTCACCGGGAACAACCCCGCAAAATCTTGCGACGGACTCAGGTCAAAGTCGAGCTTTACTTCCTGACAAGAACTTGCAACTCCAGTGCAGAATCAATGACAGAGAAGTTCCGCACAGTCGCCATGTTCGTTACGTGTTGGCATGCTTACAACCTACAGAGCCTTTCATACAAAATTCCCTTCGTACTGAAAGCCAGATGAAAAAATCTCGTACGAGGGTCATGTTCCTGCATATTTTTTGAAGACGTGATTTCAGAACCCCACGTTAATCGGCGCTCCTGTCTAGAGGCCGACGCGACAGAAATGCTGGTATTATTCGTAGGAAGTACGAATTTTAAGTGCCTTCCGATGCCTCGACGCTCACGGGAAATCGGTCGACGTTGCGGCGATCTCAGAAAGGAAGACGAGTGGACTAACTAAGATTGCACCCAACGCGGGTGGATACGTCGCTCACAAAGCGGGAACAGGCTCGCGCCAAGTGAGCGTTTGGGATGGACAGGCTTACAGGCCAAGGGTTGGCCGGCTATAAAAAACGTCCAACAGGTAAAGGAATCCGAGAAAACAAAATAAAAACAAAAGCGGCGACAGAAATATTTTACGTGATTCACAGTCGCCGAAAAGGGGTGGAGACGGAATTAATTTGTGGGCACTATTCTCTTGAAAACTTCTATTAGTAACAACAGTCTCAAGCGTGCTTCAAAATGCAAGGGAATCGGAATAAAAAACTCAGACCCTCTGAAGGTGGGACGAAGATAATATTAAAGAGCGGTCTGGTTCGAATCCCCATGATACCGTTCCATCTCTCTTTGCAAATGCCATGATCAGTAACCTCTAACACAGCCTTGCATTAACTGGAGAAGCGGGGATTTTATTATAAAAATGATTAACTGCCCACTAACCCCGCGGTATGTGGTCCGCCTCGGTTATGGAATTCGATGGTTGAACAAAAACCCGACATCCCATCTACATGTTCACACCATCCACACCCACGCAGAAATCTTAAGAACAATAAATTACAGCAACCCTGCCTTTTGTTACAAGCCAAGAAAACTGAGCACACGTTATATTATTATTATTATTATTATCGACTGAATAAGAACGTTTATGTTCTGAAGGCAATGAAGATGTTCACTTGGTCTTCTACGATCTGACTGTCCAGACGAGACCACGTGGCGCCACAAGAATCAACAAATTGTTCACAGACTAAGAATATCCAAGCAACAAGGTTTATGAAAAGCTCAAATTACTTACATGTTTCAATGGCGCTTTGAAGGAAATGAACCTGGTCCCTGGAATACGCTCACCCATCGGGATGTACGACAACCACCTGCAATACAAAATACGGTCCAACCAAATTCAGATGTGCCAAATGCATTGGTAAAATACTGACGAGTCTACAACATAGAGCCAAAACCCAGGACAGCGTCATGAACCAGCGACTGGGGGGGACACACTGATCCCTCATCTAGGTTAACTGCGAATTCTAAAAGTATCTCACTGCCGACAGCAAAGCTCGTCAATGCACCAGAGACAACGCCTTCAAAGGAAACAGAACAGAGTCCTCTGATCACGCAGAGGTCGCTGCTGTCCCTCGGAGATTTGTGAACAGACCCCAGTCTGACAAGATCACTGTCTTAAAGATGTTCTCAAGAGATGAGTCATTTTTGTCGTCAGATTAACTGCAGTACCACCCAGAACATCTTTCACTTAACTACGTGCCTAATGTTTGTCACGCAACCTCTGAACGGTTAAATCTGTTAATGGACCAGTTTCAAATTAAATTTTTCACATTCTCTGTTTTCCAGTAGCAAACGCAAATTCACTTACACTGCTCAAATTGCAAATGGAGTCCCATCTTTTTTAATCAACATGCAGCTACGTGTAACGACACTAAACTGAACACTAGTGCCATCTATGTGCATTATTATACATCACTGTTAAATAACATCTCATGAAGAGAAATTTATTGTTCTGTAAATGTTCAGAAAGAAAACACATTTTATGGGCAAATGCATGTTTGCAACATGCACTTTATTATACGAGGGCTCTTCTGAAATTCTTGGGACTTGCCCTCGGTCACAGGCCGAGAGACAACGACGGCCACGCGTTCCCAACTGAGGTCGTATGTAACTGACATTACCACTTAAACCATCTTTTCCCATAACACAAGTCACAACCTCCATGAAGCAGCCACTGAACTCACATCCACTCAAAGAATGACTTCAAAGACGCTGCACACAGCAAATAAACTTTCAATAAAGAAATGGACACACAATCAGAGTATGTTTGTACACAATTCATTTCACCAATTACAGAATGAACACTGCATGTCCTATATCCTTGGTTTAGTCTTACAGGGATGTGTGCAAAGTAAATAAATTATATTTCTTAATGTTACTCAAAAGAAGAATTTACTTTACTTGAAATTTCCTAACTATCTGATATAATTATCCTGCTTTGCATAATATAATATTCTTGCAAGATGTCTGTAAACAGATGCAACAACTATGCATTTATACTTGCAGTTGCATTAATTCTTGCTTTTGTATTCAGTGCTCCACCAAGTTCAATGTCACTTCACTCACCACTGTGAAGGGTCTGTGGGATGGGAATACATTCTATTCTACCCATGAACTATGCATGATCAGATTTAATTACCTTATACAAAGCAAGGAGTTCCTCAAGGATCAATACCCACTCCTCTTCTTTTCCTTCAGATAATCATTTAGGGACTTTAAATTTCAACCAACTTCACCAAATTAAAGTATTAACATACACTTTCATCTTTATTTTTGGACATTGGGGAGTAGATCCTTCGTGCAATGACGCAGAAGCAGTTAATTAAACCTTGCGATGGCCACACTGATTCTAAACATGTTGCTCAAGTGAACAGACAGTGCACAATGAGCGTGAAGAAAGACGAAATATCGACTGATAAAATCCTCTAGGGTAATCAGTGCCCAAAAGTGTTTAAACCCTTCCAGCAGCCGTAAAAGCTTGAGGCCCTATATTACGATACTCTATGTATCAATGAAACAATATATTTTAATCGTAAAATGTGCAACAGATCAGAATATGGTTCAGTGACACATAACCAAACACTGTCATGTTCCATGGACTATAGAATAATGTTTCAAACACATAAGAAATCCATATTTAAACAATAAAACTGCGTTGATAATATGCACCGTAAACCTTATTCTCAGAAAAAATTTGACCACGTGCGTGTAACAGATCTAAAGGCGATAAATGAAAACTCTGAATACAATATAATACGAGCAAACGAAAATCATATTTCATACATCAATTTGTCAAAAAAATACATACTCAAAACTCACCTCTGAGGAATATTCGGCATTTTCTATTTTATTCTTGTTGATGTGTCAACAACTTGCAAATTCACAGCACCATGTTTAATTGGAGAGTGCGTTCTGAAACTTCCTAGCGGTTACTCTTTGTACCTTCAAAAACAAAAACGCACTCGTGCATTAATCTCTGACTTTCATTTTGTGCCACTAAAGCGACAATTTTACTTGTATAACTATTTACATTATTTCTTCTCCCCACTGGTTTTTTATTAGTATTATTGTAAAAATATCACGATAACAATAATATCATCAATAACTATGTTGGATGAATTATGTAAAATGCCTAAAAGTTGCAAGTAATAATAAGCCAAGGATGTACAACATGTCATAGCACAAATAGTATGATTGTTCCTAATACAAATATAAATTGCATGATTATGATAATAATTTACACTCAACTACAGCATTACCATTAAAATTATTACCCAAGAAACACACCCACTGTTGCATATATATATTTATAATAGCTGAGACTTTTGATTGAGGTAAATTCTTCTATGGAATATGAGGAGCTAAAAATAAAATTTGCATGATTAAGTGGGTAGTTTTAAAAATGCAGCAACTCCACCGTTTCTATAAATTTATTCAACTGGGATTACACTGCACATCTTCCTTGGATGTTTTTATTTTCTTTATCTCTTGAAGAATCTTCTTTTCCAATCCATATACTTTTTGTGGTTTCTGATACTGAAACAAAACAATAATTGACAATCAAAAATGTCACTGAAAAAATAAAAATACATTTCAAAAAGTGAAGTATTTATTCTAAAATGTCAGTGATAAAAAATAAGTAGTAGGAAGTAATGACTGCTAGTTCCATGAAACACTAACCAAAATCAGTATGAGACCAAGTATGAGGAACTAGAATAAGTTTTGAAACATCACTTTTAAATTTTGTAAGTGATGGAACTATAAACACATAATTAAAGATACAGGAATGACTGAAAATGTAACACGAAGCTTCATACATCTGCTGGATCTGAAGGACAAAAATCATGAGGAATGAAAACAAATTACAGATGTGAATTTTGTAGCTATGTACCTTAATAGAGATATTATGAAATTGAAGACAACCTCTGCAAAACAAAATTTTATCTATTGTAAGAATGAGAGAGTATTCAAAACATAATCAAGTGCAAATAAAACAGACATTTTTGCCACACTGCACTCTTTCTCACTTAGTAGCTGAGAGTACTTAGTAAACATATTTTTTTGCTCTAACACATTGTCACCCTCCAAACACTGTAGCAGTTCTTACATAATGAATGTTAACTGCAGTCAGAGACTTAAGGATCCTTCAAAATATTCAGTACCTTATTATACACTTAACTTTAATTTAGGAAAACAAACTTACTGATATAATAAGTGTATTGTGGTTATGCGTAAACTGTATTTTATCCTGTTCTGGGAGTAAGCCAACTCGCTCCAAATCTGGTATTGCCAGCCTCTTGAAGTACTTCTTGTTTGTTGTTCTTACGGTTATACATTTGCTGTCTGGTTCAGCTGTTACTGAATACACAGACAATGGATATGGGAGATTCCTAATTCTCCATTCCAGGCTAGTTTTTGTTATTCTTCTACTTACAAATGGCTGTAAGCACACAGAAATATGTTTTACAGACTGGCAGTAAAACTTTAAGTTACCTTTTCTTGGAAATTTGAGTTTGTAAAGTGGTCAGTTGTTTAAACCACTTTTGTTCACACAATGTTTAATGCAGTTACACTATTTACTGAAATGTTTCCAAGGATGGGTTGTTTATGAAAGCAGGTTCAGTGTCCCGTATTGACTTGTGGACCTGACATACATTCAACGTAGCTCCAATGGTCATTTATTTATAGGATTATTATCAGAACTTTTCAGCTACTTTAGCAGTGCAGAAGACACCACATGCCAACAAAAACCTGCAGTCATAATGATGAAGTTATAACATATTTCTTTCTCATACCTGAAAATACTTCTATATTATTCTTAAAAACCTAAATTCTGTGACAGGAAAAGATGGTTTAAATTAATTTAATCTAATGTAATTCTATTTTATTTTATTTAAGTTATGTTTGTATTGGGTGTCATAGATATAAATAAAAGTGAAATTTTGCAAAAAAAAACATCTTGTGTCAAATGCATGCTAAAGACACACAACTAAAATATTGATCTATATGCATTCTGGAATTTATTAAGCTGGAAAAATAGTAGTATCCTCTGGAGCTATAAAAATTTAATTCTGTAGGCATTATGCGATAAGTATTTCTTAGAAGCAACATAATAGTGTCCATTACAGATTTCTGAATTAATTTGTCTAGCAAAACTTTAATCCAACATTAATAGTTTTCAAAATAAGTGTCTTACAGCACTGCTTGATTCCTTGATGAGCACTTGATCAATATTTAAAAAGTGTTCTTCAGGATCACCAATCTCCACATCCCACTGTCCTTCTCCACCCAGACTAGATTTCTTTCGCCACGCTCGTCTTATGAGTACATCTGTCTCACAGTTATATTCTTCAACCATCTCCTCTCCTGGTGAAAATAGATAGTGAACTTTTCGCTTTCCTGAAATATTTAAACATTTTAACAACGATGTTCTTTTTGTGCAATGAACATAAGTTACCTTAAAAGTAAATTCAGGTGCTTATTAAAAGGGCATAAGGATTGATAAAAACATGCTCATAATATAAACAGAGGTCCAGATTCTGTTGTTTGTAAATGCAGTATGAGCAAAACATATGCAGAACAGAATTAAAATAGATTCTGACACTGTTAAGAAAACTCAGGGACATTTTGTGTCATAAAAAACAACATACAATAAATAAATTCACGTATTATCAAATGCATGAATGATGTCTTAGCTAGTTTGAACAAATAGATTAAAACCAACAAATTCATATTAAATTTTGACAAAACAAATTCCATGAAATTTTGTACTACCAACAAATTGTTATGAGGACTATCAGATCACTCAAGAAAACAGATACTTTAAAATTAGTCTACATTGCTTACTTCCATTCAATCAAGTCATATGGAATTACTTTCTGGCAAAATTCAACAGACAGCAAAAATGTGTTTTACATCCAAAAGAAAATCATTAGAATAATGGCAGGTACTATAAGGAAATCTTCATGCAAGGAATTATTGAAGAAATTTGATGTTCTTCTCTTGGCCATAAAATTCTTGTCTTCCTTATTATCATTTCTAGTGGACAACATGCAAAAAGTACAAACTCAGATATCCAGCAAGGACCTCTAAAACGTCTGTAAACTTCCAACAGACTACAGAGTGCTACAACCCAGATGATGGCCAACTTCATAATTTATATTTGTACTGGAAACATATTTGTGCTATGACATATTATACAACCCTGGCTTTGGCTTATGAAGAGCAAATAAATTATATTCTGTTCTCAGCCAACAGATTATACCGACACCACCTTACTTAATTTTCTAGTGATGGCTACACTATGTACTAGTGCAGCCAGCATAGTGCGCAAAATTGTAGCACTCTTCGATTGCATCCACACCAGTTGTTAAAGGTTATGAAAACTTGCCTCTATATCTTTACAAAATTATGTTATTCTTACCATCTTGTATTAAACACTTCTTTTCCGCTTTCTGAATCATTTCCAGCCACTGTTCATCTGCCATGTTTCATAAACAAGTTATTCAGTTGTTTCTCATTTCCATGGCAACGTCCTTGATGGTCGAGTTCAGAAAAACAGACTGTTCAAGTTACGTCTTCTGTACCCATATATTATAAACTGTGATCAATATTAACCACCGATATATTAGTTAAAGATATTTGGCGTGTTGAAGAGATTTTCAAGATTATATGTTGGCTAGCATAACATAATCCAATATGGCGAAAGTTTGTATTTGCTGTATTTACCAGTACTGATAATAATAAGGAGGCAGGAGTGTAAGTCGATTGGGTGGGAACGGTTTCAACAGCGTGATTTTTGTGAAGTGTATTGTTGTGTGATGTCTGAGAAGTGATGTAATATGTTCGAATCGGAGTTTAAAAATGGTATTTATTTGTCGTTTATGCGGGAACTGTGAAAATGAATCATCAGGCTTAGCGATATTTGGAGAACAAGGAGTAAAGGAGGCATTAGCATATAAAATAAAGCTGTCACTTGATATTTCGGTAAGTGACATTGCAGTTAGTTGTGTAAAAATTAAAACTGACTCGCTGCACGCCTTGGGGTTTAGGGGGGAGGGTTGGTATTGCTCCTATCCGTGACTGACCTCGGCACTGGATGGGGGCGAATGTTTAGCGTCACGCCTCAGAGCCGGTCTGGATGCAGAATCTGAGAGAAATCCCTTGCCCCTGCCAGGGATCGAATCCCGTACATTCAGTCCGTCGTCAGACTCTGATGACTGAGCTACCCCAGTTAACAAGTTTAAGTTATCAGTTGGGCACAGAATGCATTTAATTTGAACATGCGGAACAATAATTCCATGAAAGTCAGAATTTCGAATGTACTTTTATAAGTATTTTGAACATTTTCCAACGGATTAAGATAGCATGTTATACATTTAAAACGAGTAATTATACAGTGCATTCACTGGTAAATTGGAATGCAACTGTCACATCCCACCTTCTGGAACTGGATAACTTCCTCCTAAGTGCTACAAGATTTTCCCAATATGAGTCAAGTATCACACTATAAAAACAAAATCTATGTACTTTTGCTATAAGAGATGGTGAAAAATGCCCTCTTTACAGGCATGTTATGGTTTATCAGTGAATGTGCTGTACATTGGGTACACTGTATGGAAAAAAAAGAAGTTATGAAATTCTGAAGAACAGAGAGAGACTATTATAAATTTGTCATTATAGTGTGTCCTATATATGATGGATGTGATACTGTGGAGCTAATCTGCTTGGTTTTAATGTTACATTTCTCATTACATTGAATGTGAGGATTCTGTACCTTCTAGTAATGTTATCTGATGAGGAAAAGCCAAATATTTACACAATATATCACCAGATATTTCACTCGCATCCCTATAAAGAACTGAGTAAAGAAAAATTGAAAATTCAGTATTTTAATGGTAAAGTTTTGATTCCATTTAAGGATACTCAATAAATCCAAACCAGACAAGGTGACATAACACAGTTGTATTGGGCCAGAAGCTGACTTGGAACAGTATAATGGGGAACTAGAATTATAATTTGTACTTGTATTAATTGAGAATGAGGCAGGTGGTGACTGATGATTTTGAGACTTTGCAATAAGAATTGAAAAGTATCAAAATGAGACAATTAATGGTCCATTAGCTGCTGGAGTCTCCTTCCCGCCTACCCATGAATTTATTCCGTCATAAATAATATGGTATCAGAATTTAACAGTAATGTGTAATTTGCACATTTCAGAGATTGTGATCAGCAGATGCATGGAAGGAGACACAATTAGAATTTCACATTTGAATAAACTGTACAGGTGAATGACCTTTTTTGGATGTCTTTGTCAACTTCATTGGTTCCATTGTGTTGAATTATAGAGTGATAATGCATCATGAATCTGTAAGGACATAGATGGAAATGATTGTGGCTTAATTTAATAATATCAGCATTTGCCTGGACTGAGGAAAACCATGAATGCCCTAGTCAGAGTTTGTGATCTGCGAGTCCAGATTTAACCCTGAGGATGCATGCCTTTGATAGAAAAGGTTTTGTCTCATGGCACAAAATTACCTGTTAACCCTTTGAAACCAAAGCCAATCTAAACAGAATGCAGAGTTATTGTTTACTGAAACATGTGGTATATACATTTACCACTTGGCTTTAAAGTATCAAATGATACCTGTACATTGGTACCGAAGGTGCAATGGTCAGCTTGAGGAACTCGATGAAATTGTATGTTTCCACTTAGATTTGCTCCACCATAACTTTGTTGCTGTCTGTAGCCATCGCAGCGGCAGTTTGGCGCAGAGTGATACAAGCAATTTTTCTTGTAGTCGGCCATTGCTATGGGACAAACTACCATTGAGGAATTTCAGATATGGTAGTGAAATACTAATAAAGAAGAAACAGCAAACCCTCTAGAAACCCTTCCAGCCTCACAACTTTAGTGATACCACTGGAATGTATAAGATTAACAGTGTGTGTGTGTGCGCGCGCACGTGTGTGTACATGAAGGTTTATCATTGTAACCTGTTTGTTTTAGGTGTATGAATATGACCCACTCCCAAAATATATTTGTGAATGTTGCCTTGGAAAATTATTTGGTACTTTTACATTCCAAGAAAGTTGTAGGAGAACTCAGATCCTGTTGCGGGAACGTTTTCTGAATTCAAAAAGTTGGTCTGTAAGTATTTTTACATATCAGGTAAT